TGCAGCATACCTGCTATGGCTACATAGACAAGAAGAAGAAAAGTGTGGAACTCTGCAAAACCAAAGCATGGATGCGGCAAATCAGCTGAGAAATGTGAGTAAACAAGGGAAGGAAAACAGCACACCAACGGCAAATCAACACTACAGGCAGGGACAAGAACAAGGCATGTTGGGAAACACATACCAACAAGAAGAAACAGAGAATGAAATTGTTGTGGTAAGCAGTGATAATGAAGACACACAGAAAGTGCGGGAATCAAGTAACTCCAAAAGAAACCAGGAGTTGACAAAGGACAAAACTGTACAATGCGACCTGAACTCACAGAGCACAGGAAAGTCGAGATCGAAAGTGGGAAATGAGAATGAAGGATGGGGAGAGAGAGAACAGCAAAGAAAGGAAATGAACTGCCGCAAAGGTGGCATAGAGAAAAGAGGAGAGGACAACAAACAGGAAAACCATGAGGATAACACGATACATGGAAGAAATCCTCTGATGAGCAACAACGTAGAGCAAGGAAGAAACAATGGTGCTACAGGGCATGAAAGAGGACAAGGTGGAAGACACCCACGATACTATAGAACTAGAGTGTTCGTCAATCAGCGGTATAGAAATAGGGACGAATACAGGGAGTACGAAGAAAGGGAATGGGAGCCTGTGCATCACTTTACAGGAGAAGACAACATGCGCAGGTTGAATGGAAATAGTAGAAAAAACTACTACAGGACAGACAGGTACAGGGAAGGAGTGTATAAACAAGAACAACGCGAAGAAGGTAAGGGAGCCAGAGCGTTTGGAAAGCAGGACCTTAATGCAGACGGACATGACAAAAGAAACGGAAACCGCGTCCAAGTAGAACCACCCTATTACGGTAGGCGCTTCGATGGACACCCAGGTCAGAGAAAGTGGGGCAGACATGAGCATCATGAACCCCAAGACTGGCAGCTGAGAGGACAAAGACAGATGAACTGGAATGGCAACAAGGGGTGCAATCAATCACATGAGCGAGGGACTGGGAATGAAAACCAAGAATGTTCCAGGGACTATATGGAAGACGAACGTAACTATGGGACCACTGAGGAATGGAATGAAGAGGGTGGTGCATCCGGAAATCAGCAGCAGAGGAGGCAGTACCAACAAGAAAAGTGGTACAGTCGAGAAGAGCAGAGCTGGAACTATCCGGAAAGTCGACGGGTCCGGAGAGAGCATGGGAATTTTCACCGGCAAGGGGCGAGTGGAAACCCAGATCAGTGCCCAGGTTGGAGAGGGAAAAGCTATGCCGAAGCCCTGCTGGAAGAGCGCAGGGTCTTATGGTACTAACAAGAGAAGGAGACACTGGGAGAAATTAAAACTCGTTCAGTATAACTGTAGAGGATACCAGAAGAGTGAGTTTATGCAAAGCATATTAGATGAAGCAGATATTCTGTTGCTCAATGAAACATGGACTTCAAAGGCAAATCAAAGTCAAACCCTACTGACCGAAACACATGATGTGATTGCAGTAAGCTATGATGAATATATAGACTATGCCGTCTTACAGAACAAAAGTGGTCGTGGGCACGGGGGTGTAGCGATTATGACGAGAAAGGAGCTAGGCATGATTGAAGTGGACCACCGTGGCAGCACTAGGATTCAGGCGGCAATTGTAAAGGGCATGGAGATTGACATCCTAGTCATTGCTGTATATTTGCCGACTGGCACACTTCAGAAGACAACCATTGAGTTTCAAGAGACAATAGATAAGGTGACAGGCATAATTGAGGAGTATGGTGAAGAGAAGATGATCATTGTTGGAGGTGATCTCAATGTGGACCTGACTAAAAACGTGCATCCAAACAAGAAGTATGTCGAAGCGATGCTAGCTGACTATGGATTAATGATTCCCTGCAACAACATAGAGGGCCATAACACATTTTACAAGAATGAAGTTGAAGCAACATCACTGCTAGACTATTTTATGGTTGACAGAGGTCACTCAATGTATGTAACAGAGTATAAGATTCCAGAAAGAAGCGCTCTCAACACGTCAGACCATGAGCCGATATGTGTCTGTGTTGAAATGAAAAGGAGATGTAAACAGCAAAAAACAGAGGAGCAAAAAATTGACTGGGAGAAGGCACGAAGGAATGGCAGCATTGAAGCCTATCGGCGTTACCTATGGAAACATAGACAGACGCGAGTGGACATAGACAGTATCAACAAGACCATTATAGAAGCAGCGAGAATGCTTCCAAAGAAGGGAAGAAGGAACAAGGCAAGTAAGTGGTGGAACAGCGCTCTCACGGAAATGAGACGAGAATGCTTAGCAGCTAAAGACAAATGGAAAGAATGTCCGGCGGAAGAAAAAGATATTGCGAAAGCGACATACAGAAGTAAAAAGCGGCAGTATATCAATGCGCAAAGAATGTATAGGCTACGTGCCCGAAAGGAAGATGATGCTAAAAAAGAGATAGAATGCCAAAAACTATCAAACAAGTACTATCAAAGAATACAAAAATGCGTACGAAGAAGCAAAGTACAACGACTGAAAATTGAAGGAAAAGAAATCTACCAGCCCCTGGAGATTGCTGAGGCGTTCCTCCACCATTTTGTTAGAACAGCCATGCCAATAGAAGACCCGTGTTTCGACAGGAAATGGAAGGAACATGTCACGGCAGTGGTCAACTTAACATGTAACAAATACCAGGAAAAAGGACGAGACTTAGAAGACTGTAAGCCAATAACAGAAGCAGAAATATCCAACATTATTCGAAGACTGAAGAGAAGGAAAGCACCAGGAACAGATAATATTATGGCCGAGCATCTCATAGAGGCAGGAGACGCTCTTATTCAAGATATAGGAACCTGTCTCCAGGATATAATGAAAACAACAGAGATTCCAGAGAACTTCAAATGTGGACTAGTCACTCCAATCTACAAAGGACACGGAGGTAACACTGAGCAAACAGACAGCTACAGGGATATATCTGTCCTGACTACTGCCTGCAAAATATTCGAAAAGGCTATAATTCACAGACTAGGTGAGGAGCTCAAAGAAGCCGGAATACCGTCTGATTTACAATTCGCGTACCAAAGTGACAGGAGTACTTTGCAGGCAAACTTCATCCTTAGAGAAGTAATATCTGCAAATAGAGATATAGGCAAGACAGTATATGTCGCCTACTTGGATGTGCGGAAATGTTTCAATTCGATTTGGCACGATGGTCTCATCTATAAGCTAATCACCAGCAATGTTCACCCAAGACTGGTATTGATACTCTACAATCTTTACAAAGAGTTCAGAGTCAGAGTGAAGGTTGCAAATGAAAAGTCTGGGATGGGAAACATGCAACAAGGACTAAAGCAGGGTGGAGTGTTGTCCACTAGCCTGCTCTGTCTCTACATGCACGATAAGATACAAACTCTGCAGCAAGCACGTGTTGGAGCAAGAGTTGGAGATATACAAGTACCTATCATTGCATATGCAGATGATGAAGTTCTCATTAGTACAGATCCGACAGAGATGCAGTTAATGCTCGATGTTGCATACAGTCATAGCACGAAATGGAGATATCAGTACAATGCAAGTAAGAGCAAAATCATGGTATATGGGAAATGCTGAGATGGCAGAAGATGGTTACTAGGAAAAGAGCACATTGAAGTAACCACAGAATATACCCATCTGGGCGTCCATATGACCAACAAGGCTGAAGGAAGAAAGAGAATCGAAGAGGGTATGAAAAGGGCGAGAAGAGCGATGTTTGCAAGGTGCCCAGAAGGCCTTAACGTTGCCCGTACAAGCCCACTGTCTCTTTACACCACATGGAAAATATATGCTGAACCGATACTCCTGTACTCCATGCCAGTGACGATTTTCACAAATCAAGAAATTAACTACCTGGAGGTGATGGTGGTAAGACTTCTGAGGGCTATGCAAGGATTACCCAGAAGAACCCAGAACTTAGCTGTGTACATGATGCTTGGAGCGTTACCCCCTAAGGTGATGATAATGAAAGCAGCTATGCAATTCATTCAGTTTCTCGCTAAAGCAGCGCGGGAGCATGCACTGACGGAATACATGATACTGCACGGTGCTCTCAACAAGGACAGGAGCTCGAGCATACTAAGGCAATGGGAACATTACTTTACCGCATTGAAGCTACCAGGCATAATACAAATGATGACAACAAATGGAGTACAGGGTAAGAGCTGGTATAAAGTTTGCAAACAAGCCATCAACGCGTATACTAAAGCAATGATTATAGAAGAAGCTAGCAAGAGACAAACTATACAGTGGATCGCCGATATTGCACAAAATATGGAAGAATACGAGCCAGCGAATCAATTCTGGCCGAAAAACAGACTAAGTGTTATTGGCAGACAAGCGACAGGCACGAGGATACGACTTCTAACGGAGCAGTCGCTTCTTGCCACAGGAGTCTTAAGAAGGCACGCTGAGCGAAATGAGATCTGTCCATTATGCATGAAAGCAACAGAAACTCTTGAACACTTTCTTTATGAGTGTGTGGAACTGCGGCAAGAACGTGAGGAAGGACAGAGGAGGTGGAATGCGAGGTTAAATAGGACTCTACCTGCGAAGCTGACTGTCCGCAATGCTGACTCAGAAGAGGCCTTGTTGATCAATTACCTATACAAGACAAGGATACAAAAGGAACTGCAGTCTGCATGTCGACAGCAGTTGAAACGAGCAGGACAAGAAAAGAATCCTGTCCTCATCCTCCCAGTCTCTCCTTGCCCGGTGCCACCACTAGCGTCTTGCACAGTACCTAACGTAAAGGCTGAGATAAGGGACAGCAGAGGGTCATCAGGGAGGACAACCTGATGGTGCACCCGATGGGTGGAACCGACGACTGAGAAGAAGAAGAAGAAGCATAGGAAATACACTTATGACACAGGTATCGTCCAGCAAGCTTGCCAGGGTCACCCATTCCCAGGGCCTGAATGACGGACTTCGAAACGTACTTGGAACCAATCTTGTTCAATTTTGGCACTTCCGACTCACTTGAAATCAGTGCGTGCCCCCCATATGCACAACGCCGTCTTCTGCCGTCAATATTCATCTTGAAATTTAGAAGCCAAGGCGTACAAGCGCTCAAATCTCGGGCAACATGGCGTCCAAATGGCGTCGGCGACGGAAGTGGCGCACGTCGCCATTGCTAATATACGGTTTATAACAAAAACGAGATAGTTTTCGACAAATTTAGCCATTTTCCGTAAAACCATATGCTTAATGAGGTATATCAATCGAAAGTCAATACGCTAATCTATCTCAATCAACAACTTGTAGAGGCCAGCTCCCTCCCATTTTTCAACTACCTCTTTACCATAGTGCCTTTTTTCATTCAGACATTGAAGCCTTTAGGGGCGAATTTCGCCTTTTTCCGTAGAACCTTAAGCTTAATGAAAATTAACATCTAACAGACAATTAAATACTGGTGCTAATTTTAATTTTTATAGAGGCCAGCTCACTCTAGATTTTTTATAGGAACGCTCTGTCTAAGGGCCATCACTTCTTATCAAGCACAAAATGGCACTTTGAAAAGCGATAATTTAATGTTTTTCTGTTGTTTTCCAAAAAGTTCATATCAAGAGAATGCAAAAATCAATTTCATTTCTAAAAACATCAGAATTAAGTAGGTTCACTGCCTAGATACTGAGATATCCGAGGCTTCCTGAAGGCATGATGTCATACCGTGAAATTACAAATTTCTTGGCAAGAACGAATTTTAATGAGGATAACTAAAAATATGTCTTTATTAAATCGCGAAACATAACTAATAGCAAAGTATTAGGAAAATCTGTAAAGTAGTTACGTAGCAAGTATCTTGCAAATCATGCTAGCACTAGTTGTCAAGACAGGGCTGTTCACGACGTCGGTTTATGTGGTTTACATAAACTGCCCTCGGGGCACGTTCCCGGCTGTGACGTCACACGGCGTTTACGTTTACGAAACACGAGTGTTTACTTAAACAGTGACAACTAATAAGCAGTTGAGAAGATACTGTAAAAGGTGCAAAGAAAAGATAATCTGATGGAAATATGTCCTATATCATGACATATTGCAAGAATAAGGACAGTTTTCATCACAAAATACCCACGACGCTAGACGCTGGTTAGCAGAGAACGATGCTCAAAATAGGTCTTAATTACAATGAAATAATAAAACCTCCCATTCCAGTCCTCTGCAACCCGTAAAGGGTTATTTTGAAACTCATTTACCCACCTACCAGCCCCTGAACTGTCCGAATTCAATTTTCCTAACTCACAACTCGCCTCACGAGTTTGCCGCACATCGCCATCATTGTCACATAAACGCGTTTACGCGCCATGTTGATGCTCTGAGGCATCAACCGCATAAACGGTTTACGGCGGAGGTCTGACGTCATTGACGAGATGTGACGTCAGGATCAGATCGACGCTGATTGGTCCTTCAAAAAATAAACATGTTTACGGTTTATTAAACGGGATAAACCGACGTCGTGAACAGCCCTAAGAACCCGTTGCCTTCATGTTGAAGGAATTTTTCGGTGTTACCTAGTGTTTTTATATACCTTGGGCCGCAGCACCGACCACATTCGCGTCGGCCCGGCTTCCCGCAACTGGTCGGTGTAGTAGGCGGCGTGGTCTCTCCTAATTGCGGCTCGGCACAGTCGGTTTACATCCCTGTAGTCAGCGCGGTTCTGACCGGGACCGAGCAGCGCGCGCCGCCGCGCCAGCAGGTCACGTGTCGCGTCCGTGATACGCGGGGCGCCCGGCGGAGGGAGTCTCACGCGCCGGCGGGGCGCCACGCGGTCCAGCAGAGATGTAAATGTCCCGAGAAACGCAGCCCACTTGCCGTCCGGCGAGGCGGCGCGATGCAGGTCGGACCAGTCGCTGGTTGACAGTAACCGGTTGAACTCGGCGTCGTCGATGCGAGAGATCGGGCGCGCCTCGGTAACGGCTCTCCTCCGACCTGCAGCACTCACGTGACGCAGCACTATTCGGGTAAAATCGTGAGGTGACCCATATAGTGGCACCTGGTGACGCCTCGACGAGTCACTGCATCTGGTCGGTTGGTAGCGATTATATCGAGGAGTGTGCCGGCAGGTCGATAGGTAGCACAAGTCGTGTTAGCGAGATGAAAACCATAAGTTGACAGTAACTGCGTCAGCTGAGCACCCAAGTGAGGTTCTCGATATGTCCTTGCTTTTCTCACGACTGACTAACCCATCGGCATCTCCCTTCAATGCTCCCTTTCCAGGAACCTGGCTTCCCTTCCGTTACCAGGGACGCGGTTGGGCTGCAGTAGCTGTCCCATTGGGATATTTCCGTCCCACTGTGTACACCGTGACGACCTCTGTCGCTACAGTGCACGGTTGCACCGTAGGTAGTCCGCACAACAAAGCGAACAGTCTAACAGTAACTTCCACACCCTTTCCTACCATCCCGTAGCTTAGCAATGGCCTTTTCGTTAGCCTTAGTTTAGTTTATTCACAACATCAACGGGCTGACTTCTAATTACTAATGAAGTGATAGAATAATGGCCGAAGAACTTTTCAGACCGAAGAGCCTACTGTTAACAAAAAAAGTCACCCGGGCTAATCAGTCAGTTGTAGGATCAGTCCAGTCATCGTCTCTCCCTTCTCTTCTCATTCTCACCGTTTCATCATGTAGCGGGGTTTCGCCGTTGCGGGGCTAACCGGCCATTCGGTTCCCAGGTGGGCCAGCTCGCGCCTCGCTCCTCCTCGGGTATTATCGGGCTCTGTCGGACCGCTGCTAGAAGCCCTTCTCGGCCCAGCCCCTCGTGAACCCGTCCAGACCCTGACTAACATATAGGTAGTGTAGCAATTCAGATTGAGCATCGAAGTTGAATCCAATAGAAATACAATGTTTTAATTAATGTTGAAATAAAAGCGTACGAACCACAAAGAGAACACTGTAAAGGTGCCTATGTGCAGAGTGAGCCTGACAATTTTCCACTCAGATTTATTGCATGTTGTATTTGCTTAAATGCATTGCGATCAGAGTCATTTCGCGTTGTGCAAAGAGTATACATGCAAGAAAGATACACTTTGACGTGAAATTGGCAAGACATTCGTTTCATTATCGATCTAGGGTAAGATATAACAACACCATGATTGTGCATTTAAGTATTGCCTTGCGTAAACGCTGTTCATCAGCACCAAACGACGTGCGTCACAATCAACGAAAGCATTGTGCGAACCAATCACCACCGCAACACTGTGCAGAGCGATATTAGACACGTAAACAATGATTAACAGCTACATAACAGTAGGGTAGCCTGGGGCAAGACGCCCCAGATAATTTATTTTGCTACATAACTTTTGTCCCGGCATCACCTGGAAGGCCAAATTTGTGCTCAATGCGTTCTTTGGACATTTTACTTTAAATTCCACCCCTCAAATTCATTCACTTATGATCGGACTCCTAGCTAGGAAGTAATTTGTGAAGCAACTGCAAATGGGGCATTTTGCCCCAACCCCAGGGCAAAACGCCCCACGGCCTGGGGCAAGAAGCCCCATACTCTAGATTAAAGAATAAACATGCTAGTTTACTTAAATCTTTTATGAGAGGTCTGTTAGACCTTGGGAAGCACGGCACTGAAGTTAGCTCCTTCCATCCTATCAGGTGTTCAGCTAGTGACACTATTGTATGAGCAGGTTTTTCACCTGCCTCATAAGGCCAAATAATAAATTATTGCAATGGAAATGTTAACAAAATACTTCCTTTGCCATCCAGTTGCTGAGAAAAGTACATATAAATGCATAGAAACTTACTGCTCGCCAGCTACCGAACATTAGAAAGTGGGTAGCCCTAACAACACGTGAGGTAAAACGCCCCATGGGGCGTTTTGCCCCGCGACCTACTGGGGCGTTTTACCCCATCACGTAGTTCGGTCAGAGAACAACGCCTTGCACTCCAGCAAGGCATAATTTAACACGAACCAAGCCGGCATTAAAAGCGTTAGATAAAGTTATTCAAAATATATAAAAGTCATTAACCTGATGTGGACCATAAAAGAACGCCATGATGCATAAACTGACAACAAAACATAAAAATCACTCCAAAAACACATTTTTGGCTATATCTCCCTCAATAGTCATCACAATTTCTTTCCAGTCTGCTCATATAATGATCATATAGTGCACGTTTTAAAGAAGAGATGATGTTTCTCCAGAACCTTGCCAGTTCCGAGAAACATCGGTGAGGCGTTTTACCTCGGCGGGGCGACTTGCCCCGGTCTACCCTATGTACATGACAATAGCTGTCCCAGTTTCTCATCAGTCTCTCTCGCATCGAGCTCAGCCAGTCAGGTACCTACGCCTGGCCACATTGGGGAGAGTGGGGGGCCTTCAGCCCCGAAGCTGGATGTTCACGAAGAACTCATTCGGCTGCCGAACGGCAGCGACACGGCTCTCCAGACTCAGGGTCTGTCCGGGAGCTGCCGAGAACCGGAACCGCTGCAGCAGACAGGTGAACAGCACGAACATCTCCATGCGCGCCAGCGACTCGCCGAGACAGAACCTCCTGCCGATGCCGAACGGGATGACGTGCTCGTCGCGCCGGAACGTGCCGTCGGCGTTGATGAAGCGCTCCGGTCGGAAGGTGTCCGGATCTCCCCAGTAGGCGGGGTCCATGTGGACGACGTCCAGGTGCATCAGAACCAGAGAGCCTTTGGCCACGGTGTAGCCGCCGAGCGGGGCGTCCTGCAGCGCCGAGTGGCCGACGGCGCGCGGCACCACGGTGGCGCGTCGCGACACCTCCTGCAGGGTGGCCTCTGTGTACGGCATGTTGGCGCGGTCGGTGTAGGAGGGCAGACGGCGATCGGCGCCCACACCCAGCACGGCGTCAATCTCCTGCTGCACGCGCGTCTGCACGTCCGGGTGCATCACCATCAGCAGCAGCGCCCAGGTCAGAGACGTGGAGGTGGTCTCCATGCCCGCCAGAAACAGGTCCATGCAGACGATAGAGAGGTTCTCGTCGGTGAAGCTGCGTGCCGCCGCGTCCGGTGACTCCATCTCGATGAGGAAGCGGTCAATGAAGTCACGAGGCGCGGCGCGGTCCAGCGTCTGGCGGTGCTCCTTCATCAGCTCTTGAAACATAGCTAGTGAGTTGTCCCTGTTGTTTTTCAGCTCCTTCAAGCCAAACGAGTTTGGGCTGATGAAGCGCAGAAACGGGAACATGCTTAATGGATTACTAGGACCGGTTATGGTCACGAAATCATTCACTTCTTTGACCCTCTGTTTAGCTTCAGGTTCGCTGCGATCCAGGCGTTTGCTAGCAACCAGTCTCCAGAGCACGTTCAGTACCGTCAAGTTAAACCTTTGATTTACCTTCATTGGGGAGTGCATGTCTTGCTCCATTTCTTTGGCCAGATGCTCAAACTCCTCCAGAATAATCGTCTCCATGGAGTTAGTTCCGAAACCCAAATCACGCAAGTGCCGCAGGGTAAAGCGTCGATGCTCCTGCCAGGCAGGACCGTCATTGAGGATCACTCCTAGCTTCTTCTGGAAGCTTCGGTAAAGAACTATGAAGTTGCTAGGCCTTCCACTGAACTCCTGTCTGGCACACGATTCCTTGATCAAGTCGTAATTTAGCAGATGAACAATCTTGAAGTTTCCTGGCATAATGTAGGCCATAATGTCTCCATATTTTTTGCGATGTTCTTTGACCATTACTTCGAAGTCTCCTTTGAGAGATCTGAACGTTTCGAACAGGTTGCCAAAGATCAGGAACATCGGTGGCCCTGGAAAAAATGCAATGTTAAAGTCGCTTCTTACTGCCATTATATATGCCATTATATGAATGCATTACACATGCATTCATGATGTGTAATGGGCAATGTTAAATGTAGTATTTGTGTTTACAAATCCGTACATGCGCGGTCTGAAAAGCCATCACATGGAGACCGTACGCAAATAAATACAAAAATACAAAATTATGGGATAACATTGACGGGAGCACATCAAAGCGATATGTTCAAGGAAACATATCACTTTTAATGGGGCTTTGAACTGGAACAGCGGCTTTGTAGCTTGAGCTGAGAAACGTACAATTCTGAAGCTTGTATGCCCCAACAATCACCCTAGCCAAAGATATGACGATTTTAGTTCCGAAATTAGCCCTTATGGAGGAAAGCGATGCCTTACGGAAGAATGCATAGAATGCAGCTACATACTTCCGGCAGAGGCCAATCGTCAGCCAATCAGCATGCAGTTGGTTTTGAACTACGCAATATGATTGGTCAACGAATAATCAGCTTCCGCCATGCAAGCACTATACCTATTTAGCTTCTACCAAAGTTGGAAAAAAGGTATTCCTATTTCTAAATATTTTAACACTATAATTGTAGATATCAATTATTTCCTTTTCTGATCATTTAAAACATTAAACATAATAAAACTTTAACTGTAGCAAAAACTCATTTGAGGAAAGTGGTATCTTCCTTTAAACGCATTAATTACATGTTGTGAAGAAACGGGATCAAAGCTGGTGTAGAGGTTCACCAAACACAATCAACATTAGTTGCACATATTTTCTAAGACAGCGCATATTGCATCAATACATCAGACAAAACAGTAATCACAGAGGCACGGGGCCGGGGGGCCTCAGATTTGGAGGCCTCTTAAATCAACCAGCCGACATCGAGTTCCGATATTGGCGCAAAGCCTTGTCGCCCATTGCTTATTGGGAACATCATGATACTACTGGTCCACACCGGGTTCATGGCCTCCGAAGTGCTTTTGACCCTTCGGCCGACAGAGGGTGCCGGCACAACCCGCACTGCTAGTTCGCACAGCAGGTGTTCCCATGGAATTAAAAGCAAAATTTATTGCAGCAAAGAGCTTCGTTATGCTGTTAATAAGTGAATTGATAAGTTGTTACGCCTGGTATAACGGATCTCGCTGCTTATTTTAAGTTTCGCACCTGCCAAATTTACCAAAACAATGTTTAAGTTTAAAGGGAATAGTTCACCTTCCTGAAATTAGTTTTTTTGCAATGGATTTATGATTTTTGTGTGCTAGAAATTATTAGAAAATAACATAAATCCTTTTTTTATAAAAAGGATTATGTATTTTCTTTATTTTAATCCGCGCCCCGTAGCGGAGGGGGCGAAACGCCCCTCCCCCTGTCCTTTGCCGTCGATATCTCCTAAACGGCTGCAGATATCGCCACCAAACTTTCAGCACACCTCCGGGCATCAATTTTACACATTGTGACTAAAAAATTGTCCAGCAGCTAAGATAGGTTGGCCACAAGTGACGTCAGAATGACGTCATGTTCTGTTATTTTCGACCGAAAAAAGAACTTCGCGAGAAGAGCTGTCAGGCCTACAACTTTGAAGACACAGAAAAATGATCAAACATAAAAGTTGTAGAATTGACAGGGCTACAAAACTGCTATCTCGGATTTTTGAAATTGTTGAGTTTTCACCCCCGAAAATCAAAAAAGTGTTTTTTGGATATATTAGCCAAAAAAAAAATCCAAAAACAAATTTTGAGCTTCGAAAAAACGAAAAATATATGATAGTACATACCTGATAGTACATAGTCTAGTCATACAGTACATAGTCTAGTACATAGTCATACAGATATGATAGTACATAGTCTTCTATATGCATACCAAATTTCAGATAGATATCTCTTTTTTTTGCCAAGTTACAGCGAAAACAACCGTTCAAAAATGATGACGTCAAATTTTTGAACTCAATTTTTTGGCAATTCTAGAACACGTAGGGCAACACAAAGAGCACCATTAGACTCCCCGTGACGAGCTGCATCGAATCGATACCCATTTTAAGCAAAAATTCTAACTTTGAAATTTGACATAATTTGACCTGACCTTGACCTGACCTTCACCAGAACGTAACATAAGCTGGCCTCAAAGGCTGCCTGACCCACATAATCGCATTTGTCATGTAAAATGGACCATAAAACATGTATCACACGACACTTTCATATTGTGACCCCCCAGTGACCTGACCTCTGTGACCTGACCAGGTATCGGTGACCTCAGATAGCAAAGTATGTGGTTGACGAACAATTAACCATCGATGGTTTTCAATAACTTACCAATTTACTCGAATTCACAACACATTCCTTGAAATGCCCATGTGAACGGTGAAAATCCAACCTTTGACCTGACCTCTGACGTCATCGGTTTGACCTAGGTCAATGAAATTTAATCACAAGGTAGTTCCCGGGTGAGGCTATCAAACACCGTTTGAATTTTGAAAATCGGCCGGTAAATTTTCAAGATCTTAGGGGGGGCGAAACGCCCCCCCCCCCCCCAACGGGTGGTAGGGTCCACCGATAGCCCTACGGGACGCGGTTTAACGTACGAAGAGAAGAACTACATTCTATCTAAAATAATATTTGACGCGGAACCTTATTATGCGTTGACCAATCATATTGCGTAGTTCCTGTTCAAACCCAACTACGTATGCTGCATTGGCTGCAAGCAGCAAGCTGATTGGCTGACGATGACGTAGCTGCATTCCTCAGCAAGGCACGCACTCCTCTGCAAGGCACTCTTTACGGAACGGAAAATGGAATATCTTGGTCTAGTGTGATCGTTGGGCCGTGAAAGCTCCTGATTTGTGCTAGTCTCAACTCCAGCTGTGAAGCTGCTATTCCTGCTCAAAACCCCATGTTAAAAGTGAACAGTTTCCTTTTAGCTAGGTATCGGATAAGGTATGTTTTACCTACTTTCAGGCACGTTTGGGGTATCGATTATCTCACCGGGTGGATAGTTGGTCGGTCGTTTCACCCGCAGTGACCAAAGTACCGCCAGCACCAGACCCGCGATCAGAACAACAGTCAGCATGACGGCGACTTCAGCGGGGCAGTGCTCCGCCTCGCTCCGGCTCCCAGCATTCAGTGAGCGTCCCGTCGCCTCTGCTGGGCCGCTCAGTAAGCGTCGCCAGCTGATGTCGGGCCAGCGGCGGCGCGAGGCCCATGATTTGCGGGAGGTAACGCATTGCGCCGCTACACGGGAGCTGACGGAACGGTGACTATGCTCTGTGCGCTCAGAACTTGCTTGTAAGCGCGACGGAGCATCTACCGTGATAAGGCGGTGCCTGACATACTTGTCAGACCCTGCTATCTGTAAGGCTGTCAATATTGGACCAAGTTGTGATGACGAGTGTCCGCACCGAACGTAAAGTGGCAGGGGTATTTTCATACGTGTTGAATGTTGATATTATATTAGATATGTATTTATTAGATATATTGGATATATATTATATATCCAATATATTGGATATGTGATATATATTATATTGAATATACAATATATTGGATACAAATTAGTGTCCTTTTGTTATAAAGCTGTATGGCTGTGAGCTCTGGGATATGATGAGTGATAAGAAGGCCTTTCGTGAACTATGTGTTGCTTATCACTCTTGCATCAAGAAATTAGTAGGTGTACCTAAATCGTCAAGGAATCATCCAATATGCCAGGCACTGTCCATTCTGCCTTGCAAAATGTATGCGGCGTATGGCAGCTTCTGTTTTACATACGTCTATTATCATGTGATAATGCTATCATACGCACTATGTTTGATGATGAGGTTGGCAGAACAGGCATTATGGCTACCTTGCATGGTGCCATTCGCCGTGAATACTGTCTCATGCAGCTGGATCTGAGCTCTGTGAGTCATGCTGATGTGTCAAATGTTTTTAGCTCAGCGCTCAAACGCATTGTCGAAAATGGTTAGTCTATGAACACGAACGAGCTGGAATGTTCAGTGTTTCTCTGTGGTATGTATTTGTGTTGGTGACTGTTTGTATTCGTGTTATGTGCCTCTGATGGCATGAAATAAACGGTATCATTATTATTATTATTATAAAGCAACCAGTAGGCAGCGACGCCCATCATGAAGTAGGTAATCAGTTGTGCTCACATGAATAAAATAGTTACGGGAGAAACATTCTGTAAATAAATAATTTTGAGCAATGCATGCAACATTGTTTATAATGTGTGACAGCTATGATCTAACAAAACCTTTTTTGTCTTGTTGATTTCATTTGCAAGTTGCAACACCGGTTTTTTTCTCAAAGATGGATGGTTTAACTTCTAATCGTTAAATGATAAGTGTTCGTTGGCTGGGCAGAAGCCGCAATGGTCAGGCCTCCATGGGGCTAAGACGTGTTCAAATAAAAGGCTGGTTCAATAACATCGTTTCATCAATCGAGTATGTCCTCAAATAACATCGAGTGACGCCGATTACGTTAGAATTTAAGCTGTTGGAAAAAAACAGCAAAATCGCATTTTGCACATTGATTGTCTTTGTGGATGACCACAGCCTGAAGTGAATGGGAATATTATGGACCGGAAGCTATGTTTGCTTGAGATAAAAATGCAAGGGCGTGGTTAGTGTACACTGTGCAGTCACCACTGTAAGATAAGTAGGCCTATCCATTGTGCAAATGAGATAAATTGCGAAAAATAAACCCGCGCCGCGCTGGGCTATTCAGCCATACGCGCCCTGCTGGAGAAGGGGCATATTCTGCCCCCCCCCCCGTCTAACTTCCGAACCGATGATCTACACTGTAAACCAAATCTACAAGTTGGCTCCTTGTTACAAGTTTGGTTCCAATTCGCATAGGCGTCACCTTGTCGATTCACCAGCCCCAGGCTTGTTGGCTAACAAACTAACAGTTTGTCTACAAGTTTGGTTCCAATTCGCATAGGCGTCACCTTGTCGATTCACCAGCCCCAGGCTTGTTGGCCAACAAACTAACAGTTTGTCTACAAGTTTGGTTCCAATTCGCATAGGCGTCACCTTGTCGATTCACCAACCCCAGGCGTGTTGGCCAACAAACTAACAGTTTGTCTACAAGTTTGGTTCCAATTCGCATAGGCGTCACCTTGTTGAGTACTAGTCTGGGCCTTGTGAACCTACCAACTTCTGGATAGGCATAGCCGTTTCCTTGTCGGTTCAACAACCCCTGGTTTGTTGATGAACTAGCCTTTGACTGGGCATTGCTAGTTTACAAATTGTCAACAAGTAGGTGTACTAACGCTCAGTTCGAACTTGTTCTTCCTTACAATCGCTTTGTTTGTGTTGATAACCTTAAGAACTTACGATTCGCGTTCGTTTTCAATTGCCACGATACTGATTCAGGAAATATTTTCTATACGGACAGGTCATTTTTTGGCTGGAAGTGGTGCACAAAATCATGACTGGCATCAGTTATTGCTCAAAGGCTTGCGCTGACAAGAAACGAAATACTGATGGGTTATATAATCGATGAATGCATACACCACATCCATTCGGAAGTTTCTGGAATCATTAGTATTTATTACGGTCACGTACCTACATCACGTAGTATGTAATTAATACTATTGACTGGAGACAATTCCAAGTGCATATTTTCGAATGGATGTGGTAAATGCATGAGGTATAAGGTATACCTATCGTGCACCGTCAGCATATAAGTCTTTGAAGCAAGAACTGCTGCGTATGTGGAAGAACATGGTTTTGTGCATCGCATCAAGCCAAAAGTATAACATGCCCGTATGACGAATATTTCCACATTGACCATAACAATTATGGCAGTTGCACGATCACGCAGATAATTCGAATAAAGCATGATCGCCAACCAGATTAGCTTTTACAGCCCATATATGTCCATCAGTTAAGTTAAAAATACAAAGAGTTGAATTAAAGGCAAATAAATGTATTTATATATAAAAAACACCGACCGCAAAACATCTGCTCACATGTGCATGCAAAGGTCTGGCCCACTTACATTGCGCGCGCAGGGGAAGGGAGGCGTCTCGACCGCGGGTATAGGCACGATTAGTGCGTCCCGCAGGCCAGAGCGGGCCTCACTCACAGCACGAACACCACAGTTCACAGATTTCACTTTTTACTGCACAAATGCTGGAACAGCCCTCGTCGCTGATCCATGCTGCACGGCGGCCGCGCGACAACTGCTGGTTTGAACGGTTTGAAACCGCCGCGCCGGGGCCGGACGGCGACCGCTGATTGGTCCGCCAAGTCTGACGTCACGGGCGCAGCTGACCATGTGTATGCTGACCAGCTGACCAGTACAAGTTAGGCGCCGGTTAAATAACCATGCGGCAACAAGTTTCCAAAACTGGTTAAGAAACAAACGTTGAAACAAATGTAGAGTTGGTCTGGATACTGAGAAGTTGGTGTGCATAGTAACTATTGACTCGTAGTTGTCATCTGACAAGCAATGCACCAGACAACGGCTTGTTTGAAAAGTATCAGTTGGTAAACATACCAAGAGATGATTGGTTATATTACACAAGACTTGTCAATTTGGTTTACAGTGTAGAAAGACGAGGAAAACGGCACTCGAAAGCTCTCAACAAGGCACACCTTTGGAAGCAAAAATGTTCTGCCATAGTGGTCAGAGATCAGGTCAAGTCAGGTCAAGGGTACAAAATGCAAGTTTCTACATTATCGGCTTTAAAGCGCAGCTGGCGAAGAATGGACTGAGACTGATTACCCAACACGTGTTCCTAAGCTATGAAGACAGGATTCGTTGTATGTAGCGTCATGCAAAGGTCAAAGTCAAGGTCAGATTAGGTCACCAAAAGCCGAACCTGATAAAAGAGGCTGTGCGACACATGTTTTGTGGGTCATTTTATGTATCATTTTATTTTTATGTATGTGGGTCATTTTATGTATTTTATGCATAGAATTCAATGGACTTACTCAATTAGTGACATGGGCCAAATTTGGATGAATTTCAGGTCGAGCTCAGGTCAAGGTCAGGTCAAGTGAGGTTAGATTTGAAGATGCTTATTAACCCTCGCCCGCACATGCCATTTTCCCATCCTAGAACGCACATGGGGGGGGGGGGGGCTTGCCACCCCCCCGCGCCATTTCGTTCCTGTTGGAGATAGAGCTTAGCGGTAAAGACCAAAAAGCTTCTTTGGGAAGAGACGAATCCAATGATACTCAGTTTAACCTTCTCAGGTCAGTCATTGACCTTCCAGGTCAGGTCAAACTAAAAAATGTTGCTGTTTTGGGTCACCGCTGGATATCAAGTGCGCTGCTTATCAAATACCGATGACGATGCTGTTTTCTGGTGCCAAGCCAGCTAGAACCACTTTGTCACACTACCCGACCAGAATTTTGCTGCTGAGGTCATTTCAGGTCAAGTTAGGTAAAGGTCAATTATATGTGTTTGTATGTCTGTGTGTGTCTGTGTGTATACTGATGTATGCACCGATTGTTTTTGGGTCCATATTGCATGAAATCATGATCTGAGAAGCTTTTACCAAAAATGCAAAAAAAAAACTTCACAAAAAGTAAATTCAGCTTGCCTAAAACGCAATTATCTTAGATGACCTAGGTTGACCTTGACCCTGACCTTGACCCCTGTACATCGTCGAACAACATGTTCCATGATAGGTGGGAGGTAAGACTGGCAAAAAAGGCCGAAATCAGGGTGTCAAAAGCTCACAAGGCCCATGGCAAACGCAAGATGTTGAGAATTGGCCATTTGGGTCATGACATGACCTGAAAAACAAGGTCATATCTCCGAAACCAAAAATCACAGAAACTTGAAAGTTTCAGCGAACATCAAGAAAGGATAGACGAGCAGCTATACGAAAAATCAGCTTTCTAGCTCTAAAAATGTTGAGTGCAGAGCAGAAAGACTACCTGGGGGGTGGCAACCCCCCCCCCCCCATGTGCGGGCGAGGGTTAAGACCTAAAAAGGTGTCTATCGGATGCAGCTTTTCAAGGCAAATCGATTAATGCTATTTTTGTTCCGCACAAGTTCTAGAGCTAAAAAAATCGTTTTTTATGTGTGCCGTGACGTCATTTTTTTAACAGCTTCTTCATTTGTAACCGATTCTTCTAAAAATCAGAATACATGTGCACTGAGACTAGCTGTCTAACATATCTTCCGAT